TTTGCTGTATTTTTAGCTTCTCAACACTTTGTCTTTTGCCTCTCTTAACACATTCCACCACTCCCGTAGTTCAAATTTCTTGAACTTTACATGTTGACCATTAATTAAGCACATGTACACTCATACAGTTGCACTTAAAGAGCCAAGCCAAACATATCTGAAGCCAAACATCACCTGTGGGTTTCCAGTCTGAAATCTGTTTTTACATAACACGCATATGTAAGAACTCATATAAGCACTTAATGCTTAGGCACTGGGTAAACCTTTTGTGCTTTAACTATTTACTCCTCAAAACAATTCCCTGAATTGATAGGTACTACTGCTGTTCCCATTGTAGAGATGAAGAATTTTGGCTAAGCAATTTGCCAAGGTAAGTAAAGCATTCTATAGATAGTCAGATCCAAGAAATCTCATCGCACAAGTTTTAGGCACTGTACACAGTTGACTCTCTGGGTATATCTTTTCTATACATGTTATAAACATGCAGAGAAGTAAATAACTGAATGTGGGGGTTGGGAGAGACTGCTGTATGGTATCAGCTCAGTGTCATAGTAACATAGTTTATGCATACATGTGCTTGATGTGATAAAGAATTGGAATGCTACGTGCTTTTGTACTTAGGAGATTTTTGTGGTGAGACTGAGTGAGATCAGTACAATTTTGAGAAAGTTTCTAGTCCTCTTTGCCACAAACTAGATACCCTAAGCTTTGTGTCTGTCCAACATCATCTGTGTTCAAGGGCAAACATTATCTTTCTTCTCATTCCCATATATAAACCCCACCCATGGAAAGGCTCCAAGTCCTGAGTGATGATCACTTCCTCTGGGCAAGGGTATGAAGAATAAAAGTAAATCTAGCAGGAGAAGTAAATCCCTACAGACATAGATAAGTACTTGAGGTCAGAGACTGTATCTTTTATAGTTTGTCTACATACCAGACTCATTAATACGAATAATTATCTTAGCAGTAGTGGTTGTAGTAGCAAAAATAATACACACAATCTAGTCTTACCTCATATTTTGTATCTGCTTTCATGATTTCTAGGATTCTGGGAGGTTTCTTTGAGAAAGTAATATAAAATCAGGTCTCTCTCAAGTTTCTTTTTTATTTCCACTTCTTTTTCCTAGCCATATAAAATGTTTTCCAACCTCCAAAACTCCAGTCTATAGGAGTAAAACTGTAAGATATTAAGAAGAAAAATATGGAAAAATCTGTATATTCATTTAGTTTTTCCCTAAATTTTAGAACACCCTAACCTTTTTCTTTCCCTTTAAAAATTTGTCCCACTGCATATATTCATTGCACATGGTACTGTCTTACATAAGGACATTTTCTTATAAACATATAATGTATATTGAGCATATCCCATCCCCCTTTCCTCTGCTTTCTTTTCTCTTTATCATTTATCCACTTGGTGTGGAATGGGAGAGGGAAAAAAAAAGTATCAGTGCCTCTGCCAGTATTCTTTATGACAGTGCATACCCATCATGTGAATGGAAAGTGCCCAAGACCTCCATTTTCAGAAGTGTATCTCAGCCCCTGGCTCCCGAAGAAAACCAGTGTGGTTCTGATGTGGGATATGAAGAGTGGTTTGCATTGGCACTGGCCTTGCGGGTTCTTTGGGACTGGAGCACACATAGCTGTGGGTTACAGATACTTGCTCTCCAGTATTAATGTGACCAGCATGTGAAACCATGGCCCCCACAATACTACACAAAGGCCAATGCCTCTGATAGTCTGAGAATTAACTCCCAGCTGAAGAAATTCTTCTTTGTAGGACTGAAATACATTGCTTACAGAAGGTCCTCTTTCAGAGATGATTGGTGATGTGGACTGGCAAAAGGAACTGTAGCATACATAGGCTGTCTACAGGCTTGAGTGCTATAGGGAAAAAAAATCCTTCAAACCTTTGTTTAACAAATTCTGAATTACATGCTGTGCATATGGCACAGAACTTGTACACTTAAGACATTATATAGTTTCTTTGGAGATGTCAAATGTAAGCTGTTAGTGGTAGTTGTCACCCAGTCTGAGATAGGATATGTTAGAAATGCTTCTACCAATTTATACTTCCCTGAGCTGTCACCAAACATGGTATAATCAGAGGCCTGTATACATTCAAAAGAAAGGAGTGGGGTTGGGTAGAGCTTTCTTTGTAAATTCTGTAAGGAAAATTCTCTTCAGGGGGCTGGAGAGAGGCCTCAGTGGTTAAGAGCACCTGCTGCACTTACATAGGACTAGGGTTCCATTCCCAACACCCACATGGCAGCCAACAACCACCTGTAACTCCAGTTTCAGGAGATCTGATCCCCTCTTCTGGCTTCCTCAGAAACTGCACACATGTGGTGCACTTACATGCAGCAAAAGCACTCACACATTAAAAAATAAAAAATAAAGATTCCTTTCAAGACATGGGAGTTTTTCCCCCATCTCACTCAGAAGCTGTGTACTTGAGGGAGGATCTTTCTGTCTGCTATCTTAGTGAGAGTTTTTTCATTGACGTACAATTTCCAGTGAAATAGTAGCTTGTGAGTATCCAGAACTTAGTTTATTGACTCTTATTGCACTTCTGAGTACCTACTAAATAATTTATTAGTCTGATGGATATGTGGCTACCTAACTATGGAGCATGAAATATGCACTGTTTTTCTAATACACTGTAAAGAGACCTGTTTATAAAGTATTTAGTATTGGTTTTATAATGCACTGCTGACACAGGAGACCACGAAGCTCAAAGATCAATCTCATTTTGGCCCACAGTATTAATGCTACTTTATAAAGCTATATGACAGGTTGCTTAGACAGTGGTCCTCACAGAAAGGACTCTGTTAGGAAAGCTGGTTGTAGTGGTTTCCAGCATGGCAGATAAATGTCTTGGTCCATCGATGTCCCTGAGGTAGTTATTTGGTGGCTTTTGATGCTGGACAGGTGATGGAACTCATTATTTCCCTGCTCTGTAGAGGGATTTTGGATTAAAAGTGCTGAGTTCTGCTAATACAATACTCACTGAGTGGGTAGAGAGTTGGTGTAACTTTGGGGTCATAGAGTCCTAGTGATAGGAATTCATAATAAGCAGAGGAACTTAAACGTCCTCAGTTTTGTCTCATTTGCTTGTTAATGAAGTGATGTTCTTAAATATTGTCTCTTCCTTCCTCTATCAAATATTCAATATGACTTAGTATAAAATATTTCAATTTTTATTGCTCTAGGGATTTCTTTAGCCAGGAATACATTCACATACATTTTAAAAATGCTTAGTAAAACTTAGAATTGGGATCTGACCAAATAAAGATCAAATAATTTGATTCAAAACATACATATTCTTAGTGTTTAATTTTTTAATATAAACTTGTCATTATGGGAATGCCATGTAATCACCATGATTTACAAAGTTCTGTTGCCTCTAAGGGTGTATGTTCTTGAACTGAACAAGTATTTTTTTTCCTTTGCATTAACAACTCCTTGCCTGGTTTAAGTATTTCAGTTTCCAAAGTGGGAGCTCTGCACTATATTGTCTTTTTAAAAGACTCTTTAGAGCCAGGCTTGGTGGTGCACGCTTTTAATCCCAGCACTCGGGAGGCAGAGGCAGGCAGATCTCTGTGAGTTCGAGGCCAGCCTGGTCTACATAGTGAGTTCCAGGACAGCTGGGGCTACAGGGAGACCCTGTCTCAAAAAAGACGAAAAAAAAAAAAAAAAAAAAAAACCCACAAAAAGACTTTTAAAAAAATTATGTGTGTGTATGTGCACATGCATGCGTGTGCCCAGAGAGTCTCCAAGAGGCATTGCATCCCCTGGAGGTATAGTTACAGGAAGTCATGAGCCACCTGATGTGGGTGCTGGGGACTGAACTCTGTTCCTCTGCAAGAGTAGTGCAGGCTCTTAACACTGAACCCACCGACTTGCCCTCCACTGTCTTGAACCCAGTCAGCTAACCTAAGGCTTCTCATGTGTTTTTCAGGAACCAAGGCTGAGACCTTTTGGTCATTTAGCATTTTTTACTCATTTCTCATTGGTGCTGAATTTCATTTTGCCCTGTTCAGTTGGACCCATTCTTTTTCTCCTCTCTAGTCCTGGACTTTTTTTTTTTTCCTTTTCTTGTTGTGACCCTCTTGGCAGGTAGCCTTAGCTTTTACTTTTCTGGGCTGATCATTTTTTGTATATAAACTATTGCTTACTGAACACTTAGTGTGTGTATAGTACCTGGTTAGGCCCTATATATAGGTAAATTCTGTCCCTTTTAGTAAGTACAGAGTTTAGAAGGGAGATGGTTAGTTAAATTAGCTTTCTTGAGTTGTTAAGATGTACACTTTTTAACTATGGATTTTTTTTTTCTGTGTTATTCCTTGATTTTTTAGGGGAAAAATCTTTTTCTCCCTTCGGGAGCCTTTTCATTTGCGTTCTTTATCCCATTCTCTCCTAGGACCTTTTATACCATTTTCCCTCTGGCTTAGAGTTCCAATATTCTTTTCTCTGCTGGCTTTGTCTCCTTTGCTTACTCTAGACCCCCCTCCATCTTTAGTGGAAAACACACTGGCAGTTGCTAAACATACTTCCCTTAGGCCCTCCTAACTTTTCTGACGACATTTCTCAATTTACCCAAGGAATATTTTACCATTTCTGCCTCTTTGTCTTTACAAATCACTTATTCCTTGATTTCTTTATAACATGGATTCCATATGCCCATTAGTATACTAAGGCAACTCTTAAGGCACAGAATAGAATTGTAAAATATTTTAGCCACAAATATATAGTGGGAATGGTGTACTGAACACCCCATCAGTGAATTACTCATTCTCATTTTGTTACATCTGTTCTTTCATGGTTTATGCATTTGTTGGTTGCTGTAAACCTTAGGAGTAATTAACTCTTTTTTCAAAAAACGTGTTTGGGTGGTCAGAGAGTAGTATGTTACATCTGCAATTTCATTTTGATATAATTAGTGTTACTATATAATGCTGTCTGAAGAGTATATGTAATTTCCTCTTCTAATCTCTCAACAGGCACGCTTTGTGCCCTCTCCACCTCCGAATCGCCTCAATTACAAATCAGAGAGCAGACCTGGTGACCAAGACTGGCAGGCGCATTTCAAGATCCCCTGTTGTGGGGTTGATCCATCTCAACTTGAGGTATGTTGTTCTCTTCTAGTTCAGTCACTTGGATGTGCTAGCGTGCTTTCAGTGTCCTGTTGAGGTCTCTTCTACCTAATTATTCCTCTGCCCCTCTTGCGCTGTCTTTCACACTCTTCCTCATGCATATATTTACTTGCTTCCTAACACGTTTTGCCTCTGAAGATATTAGCCTTCTGTGGCAGCCATTGGAATGATTTTGTCTGTGATCTGTCAACTGCCTTCTTTTGTCTCTTCTTGCCTCTCTCCTCCCTTTTCTCTTCCTTCATCTTACTTTTCAAATAGTTCTATGGCTAATTTATTATTATCATCACTGTTTTTAGTAGTAGAGTTATTAGTAGTAAACTTTTATAATTTAAGTGTAACAAAAATACAAAAAAGTGCTAAAATTCTAAGTATACAGCTGATGTTTTTTTATAAAGTGAATATACCCAGGAAACCAACTAGATGGATAGGCAATGGGCTTGTGCTTTAAAAGCTACACTTCTACGTGGTCCTAGCCACTACAAGTTATTTCAGATTCTCTTTGCATCACTTTTTTTTTCCTCATTTAAATATCAGTATATAAAATAGTCTTGGTGTTTTGAAACTTTTTTCTCCCATTTCAAATTTTTTTGGGAGGGGGTTCTTTTTTGAGACAGGGCCTCCTTGTAGCCCCAGCTGGCCTGGAACTCATTATGGAGACCAGGTTAGCCTCGAACTCAAAGAGATCCACCTGCCTCAGCCTCCCAAGTGCTGGGATTAAAGGCATGCGCCACCACACCCAGCCAACAAAACTATTTCAATTTTTAGGTCTGAGAATTATATATAAAGAGTTATTATTTTTAGCATTGCTTTATTTTTTTCTGTGATGACTTTAAAGTGTCATATTTTCAAATCTTGTCAGGTATTGAATCCTGCCCTGTAACATGATTTTTTGAGAGTTAATGAATCTGAATCTTTCTGTGTGACAATAACTTAAACTATTATTATGACATTTTTAACTGGGGCTGCCAGCTTCTCAGTGCACAGTTTTTAGAAGGAAATAAATTAAAAATTAATATTATCTTTACAGCTTTTCAACTTTCATGGTCATATGAAAGTCGTTCCCCAGTGCATCTCCCTGCCCTAGCCTGTTGGGTTTTCTTTCTTTGCTGGTTTCCTCATACTCATTTAAGAAAAGTCACCACTGATTCTTTAGTTTAGAGGATTTTCTTAAAAAACATTGACTGTAGATTTGGTAGGAATAAAGCCTTTGTCATTGTGTGGACCCCCAAAAGATCAATGTTAGTTTTCAATTTTTAAGCCAAAATGGGGTAGTAAAGTGTTTGCCGTTTTGTAGGCATAAAATTCATGCAGACCTCAGATGCCTTTTTTCTGATTCTTGTTCCAAGGGATTCAATCATTCCCCTGCATTTGTAAACTACCTTATCTACCACACCCTACTCAAATCTGTCCATTTTCATATTTTCAGAGTGTATCAAAGGATTATAGCATTTGGGCAGTTTCTTTAAGTGTTTTATGGAACTGAGCCCCTGATTAGGCTGTCAGCAGACACTGTATCACATTCATTGTTAGACAAGTGTCAACTGGAGCAGTTTCTTTTGCTATAGAAAGATGAAGCTTTTAGGTACTATTTTCCTATGGGGAATGTCCTTTCCACTGTTTAAAGAGACCCAACACTTACATTAGGGGGCTTGTGTTCCTTTCCTGGACACATGAAAATATTTTCAGTGCATACAGTTTTCTCTGTCAGTTGGTTACCATTTTTTCTTTTTTAGTCTAGTCATTATTATTTTTGTCATGTACACTGATGTGTTCGTTGTTCCTGTGACTAAACACTGGAGCATTTAATACCTATGATAGTTTGGCAGAAAACTAAAAAATGAAGATATGCATGCATGTCTTATTTACAACTTGGACTATCTTGTTCCCTGAAAACTTCAGGCTGAAGTTTCTATATGTTGAAATGCCCAACCTAGGCTGTCAAAGCCAGCTGGAAAAGTGTAGTTGTAAATAGGAAGTAACATATCAATTCTAGAGGGTCAAGGATTGGGACTCCAATCAGAGATGACAACATGATTTTATCTCCCCTCCATAAAGATTCTTGTGCATTTTGAATTAACTAGTTCATGAACTGTTAACCCAAATTCATGTACTAAGGATTTCAATAGAAAAAGCAATAAAGTACATGCATCCATAGTTTAGATCATTTACACATGGCACCTAGTTATATTCAGTAGTTGGTGTGTATCTATGTCTCCCGTCTCCCTCCCTGTCTTTGTCTCTGTCTCTCCCCCCCCTCCCCTGCTCACCTCTCTTTTCCTTCCTCTCCTCCCCTTCCCTCCCTTTCCTTCTCTACTCCTTTCTTCAGGATGTCACTGAGTAACCCAAGCTGGTCTGGGTTATGTATACCAAGTACTGAAATTGCAGACTGGTGCCACCATACCTGGTCCATGTATCAGTTTTTAAACCTGAAATAGTCTTTTACATGTACATGTGATTCAATTATCCAACAAATTGAAACACAAAAAACTTGCTAGATAAATAAGTAAAAATTTCCAGGTTCCTTAAAATTGAACATAGAAATCCAACTTGTACTCCAGAAATTTTCACCATCATCAGATGTTACTGCTTGGGAACACTTGGCTGTTAAAGGTGTGTCATCACTTACAAAGACAACAATGGAAAGGAATTAGGAGCTAGTTGGCAAGAAAGGATTTAGGTGTAAGTGTGAGGTGAGTCTCTGTTGTGAAGATGAGCACCTTTATAGGGAACATTTTAAATTATTTTTATTTTTATTTTGCTCTAGTCTTTATAGTGAGTCAATTTTTTTTTTTTTTTTTACTTCACATAGAAAGTGAAACTTTGTAGAGGTTGAATCCTAGATGTACCACTTAGGCTTGGACAATTCGCAGACAATTTGTGTGTGAGACCAGTGATGTAACTCTGTAATAATCTCTGTCTGTTGAAAAAAAAGTTACATTGACTGGGATACTTGTTTATAAGGATTTGGTGCCAGGATCCACATGTGAGGGAGAACATACTTCTTTTGTTTTTCTGAGCCTGTGTTATTTCACTTAGTATAACAGTTTCTAGATCCATCCATTTACCTGAAAGTTTCATTATTTCATCTTTTTTTACTGCTGAGTAGAACTCTATTGTGCATGTACCACATTTTCATTAACCACTCGTCAGTTGAGGGCACTTAGGTTGCTTCCATCTCTTAGCTATTGTGAAAACAGCAGCAACAAACATGGTTGTACAAGTATCTCTACAATAGGATGAGTCCTTTGGGTATATGCCAAGGAGTGGTATAACTGGGTCATATGGTAGGCTCATTTTTATTTTTTTTAAGAGTTCTCCACACTGCTTTCCATAGGGGTTGCACGAGTTCGCAATCCTACCTGCAGTGAATGAGCACTCCTTTTTCTCCACATCCTTGCCAGCATTTGGTATCATTTTTTCTCTTGATGTTAGCCAGTCTGACTGGGATAAGAAATCTTAAGGTGTTTTTAATTTGCATTTCTTGAATTATTAAGGATGCTGAACACTTTTTAAAATTTTTACAAAAACTTTATTGAGAATTTCATACATGCATATAAGGTGTTTTGACCAAATCCATGCCTACTCCCTCCCCTTCAACATTCCCCCCTCTGAAGAGGTAACCCTAAAATCTTTTAAGGATTAGATCAACCTCTACACATAAGACTCATAGAACATAGACAAGGGATGAAGAGAACACTAATGCATCTTTCAATTCTCATCAGTGAAGCTCCCTCATGCAACAGAAGGCCAGGAACACAAAAGGCCACAAATAGCCAAAATGCAGAGAAATAAGAGTCTGCAGAGTGTGGGTCCTTGGACAGGACTCCTGTATTGAGGTCCACCCACCCAGGGCTCAGGGACCATTGTGGAAGAGGGGGCAGAAAGATTGTAAGAGTCAGGGAGGAGGTACATGACTATACATAAATGGTCCTACAGACACCTGGGACCCTTCTCATAACCTAAAGCAAGAGTGTGAGCATGCACAAGACCCATGCAAACTTAGGCAGGCAAAAACCCAGCACAGAACTGTGGAAATGAATAGCAAGCCCCAATCTTAGTCAAATAATTATTGGCAGCTGATTACTGCTGGGTGAGGAAGAGCTGACCTTCTTGAAGAGAGAGACTCTGGATAGGTGGACTAAACCCTGGTGGATGAACTTGCACTGAGGGACATCTCAGGACACTAACCTTATATAACACAAATTACAGAATGTAGGAACTCCAGTGGGGGGGCTATGGGAGGTGCCAAAGGGGAAGGGGGTATAAAGATGATTTTATGTATGAAATACACAAATAATCAATAAAAATATTTTTAAAAAAATAAGAAAGTGAAACTTTGCACAGTAAATAAGGATGGCAGGTTTCACAAGGGAAAAAGGCCACTGTCAACTTTTTTCCTTAGGAATATGGAAATTTGGGTGGATTATCTGTTCAGAGGTTTCCTTTATTAATTCTTTCTCCTTTTTTTCCACTTAAGACATCTGTTAACATTTCACACAGCCCAACAGATGTTGCAAAGCTAGTCCTACACTTTGTTCTCAAGAAAAATGACATTTCCTCCATTGCTTGCCCCACCTTGGTGACTGCGTCCAGCCTGCTGCTCTTGCATAATTTGCATATATTATGTTATGCACCTTAATGCATTAGGAATCTGAGCTTCAGCATTATTTTTATATATTAAAGTCCCATTTGATTAGAGACTAGTTTACATGTTGCTTTAGAGTTGAGTGAGGGAAAACAGTAAAATTTCCTTTGAGAATGACAGCCTGATTCTACATATAAGATTGGATAGCCAGTTAATGTTTTTTTTTTCTATAAAAATAAATGTATTACAAAAAGCTTGAGTTGTTTTCCATGAGGAAGTGCTGATTGTCATGCGACGTGGAGCATCATTTTTATTATTTTGGCAAGAACAGGAACAGTTTTGTCTTGACAAGCCATTAGATGAATACCAGCGTGTGTCACATGAAAAACCACTGATCTTTAACCCAGCTCTGTACTTAACCAAGCCTTGGAAATGAATAGTGAATAAAAGAAGAGCAAAGGCCAGTTTACTGTCATTACAGATTACAGAATCTGTTAACGGATGCTGAAATGAACTGAGGGAATTACAGGTCTTGCTCTATAAACCAGAAGTCCTAGAGATATTTCTTAAATTATGTACACAAATTATACATTTATTTTATATTTGCTTAGGATTTATATCACAAGAATAGTAGCTAGAAAAAAAAAAAAAAAAGCCCTGAGTGTTTTCTCAGTGCAGTGCATGTATGCCTTTATCACAAAACCATATGTATTTACATAGCAGTGGCTCAAAGTTTCTCTGCTCTTCCTTACAGAGCTTACTTTAGAAAGCAGTGCACTTTTAAAGAAAGTATTAAGAAGAAACAATATGCATTATTTCTTAAAAAAAAAAAACCTAATCCACTTCAAATGCATATATGCAAAGCAGAATTCTTTGACATGCTTCTTTATTGTGGCTGATCTTTGCATCAACATGTGGTTTTTAAGAAAATAGAAGGGAAGACCCAAACCCATCTCAACACCCAAATATTGAAATACTGAAAAGATCAGTAACATTTTAAACAGTCACTTCTGGGAATTATTGCTTACAGAACTAACAAGAAAGAGCACACTCTCCTCCACTGCTGGTGGAATTGCATTGTGCCTCCCTGTAGTCTTGTTAACCCACACTAACTGAAATGCAAATTCTTTGTAACTAATTGGATCTCATTGAGGGTACATGCACAGTGTGTAGTTACATGGAAAAAGGTTTGAAAAAGTAAAATTTTCCTGTAATTACCACTTTTAATTACTACCCAACCATTAGCATATAGTACAGGTTTAGTGTATATGCTTGACTTTTTAACATTACTCAGAAACATAGCTTAGGAAATGCTTGATAAGGTGCCAGCTAAAAATTGCAGGGGAAAAAATGTTTAATTGTAGCAGTCTATAAGCTGGATTTTATTAAAGTCCTGTGAAAATAAAGTTTTCCCCCTTTTATTTAACATCTAGGGTTTAGAATCTTGGAGCCAGTGGACTGTACTGAAGGTGGGCTAATAGTAGTGTTTTTCATGGAACATTTTAAATGTTAAAATATTATAAACATCAAAAAGTTTCCCAAAAGTTGTTGTCTTCCCTCCCCTACTTCAGTTTTCTAGCTTTTCTTTATCATTATAAGATGCATTTAAGATTCTTATTTTGTGTAAATGTATTTTTGCTGTGTCTTATGATGAAGGGGAGCTATTCATATTTCTACATTGTCTTTAATAACTTGGGTACCATAAATCCTCTTGGTGTGCTTCTAAACTTACATGGTCTGCCTCTCACTGTCAGTAAATGTGAGACATGGTCTTTTGTACTTGTGATTCTTTAATCTGAAATAGATGGGTTAAAAGCAGAGAAACAGCAATCATTATGGAAATGATGTTCATCACAATTGTCCTAGTTGTAAATAACTTTGACACAAATTATTACAGAGATTATTCCATAATCTGCAGACTTTAAGAGCAATGGAAAATGCCTTGTATTTCTTTTTGACCTGTGTCTTTAAAACAATTCAAGTCTCTCACATGTTAGAAAATTATTCTTAGATCAAGGATACTACACTTTACATTCTATATGGAAGTGAAGGGCAAGTTCACATCATATATTTTGAGAATTTTGAGAATTTCTAGAGGGGTTACATTTGTATTTTCTAAAATTATTAAGAAAATGATAGAAACTTAAAATTTACAAAGTTTAACAAACATTCAGTATTTGTGTTTTATTTTTACACACTAATTTACAGTCAAGCCTTTGGGTTGTTGTTGTCTCTTATAACAAAGCTTTTCCTCTTTTTAAACCTGTCTTAGGAAGGAGTTAAGTTTTTTTTTTTTTTGACAAAATCCATTTAGCAGGTGCAGTACTGTGTGATTGTTGCAATTTTTCTTTTAAATCTTAGAAAGATATCCTGATGTTTTAAGGCGTGGCTATGGCCGGAAATTTTAGGTAGTAGTTACACTGCAGACCTGCTCAATTAGATCTTGCTGTCTGAGAAAGCTGGGTTTGCCTACTCTGGGTAGCATTTTGTCAGAGCACTGCTGGCTGGGCAGACCAGATTTGGATGTATTAGCTAGTCAGCCTAATAACCCTGTACAGACTATATTGATTTTCTAGGAGAGAGTTTATGAACTAAATAAACTTAGGGTTGGTGTCTTAATAAACTGCTTCTTTCAGTCTGTCACATTTAGTTATGGAGCTGTGCAGTTTAGGGGGAAAAAAGGCTAATTCTGTTACAGATTGTTCACAGCAGGGTCTCCAAATTAGCCCTTTGTTTTGTAATGCCACCTTGCTTGGGCTCTTGTTGAGCACATTTCTCAGTTTTGCCCTAATGAGTTGCAACACTGATAATGTGGCTGATGATCTTTCATTGATTTCACTATCACTTGCTTGTCTGGTAATTGATCCGTTGCTGAGCCTCTAGTTAATTATATCGGCTTTGACATGGCCCGGTCCATGGGGAATTTCAAGTCTTGCAGAATAACAGTTTTAATAAAAGAGTCTATTACTGCAGGTGCTTGGTGCTGCATGCCAGTTGATTTTGTGTTGTTGTTGTTGTTGGGGTTGTGTGTGTGTGTGTGTGTGTGTGTGTGTGTGTGTGTATGATACCTGGGAAAGAAGAGGACCTCAGAACTGAGAAAGAAAAAAGGGTCAGGGCTGGAAAAATCTGAAGAGGGGAATGAAGGAAACAGTAAGGAAGGAGGGGGAAGGACCATGAGAGAGGGAGAGCGGGTGAGGTGAGAGAGAACACGCAGGCAGAGCGATACAACAGTGCTTGAGTGGAGAGAGAAGGAAGCTTGCTATTGACAGTGTCCTTAAGCCTCCCACAAATAACAGCCATTAGTGGGAAGGTCAGGAGCTGAGCAGGCAGCTTGACTGAGGCACTGAGTACCACTTCAGAAATCAAGAGGCTAGCACATTTTAGAGGGAGTTAAGTGGGTAATAGCAGTAAAGGTACAGTCACCGTTGACAATTGACTCATAGGGGCTTTTCCCTCCCTCCCCCTGAAGAATATTTTTATTGACCACAGGTGGACTTAGTATATTTTAAGGCAACAATTCTTAGGGTTCTGTTTGTTTGCTCTCAGATATTGAATTTGCTTCTTTTGAGACTTTTTTGTGCTTAATGGTAGTGAACTGGAGGGAAGTTTAACAGAAAAGCTTTCAGGAGATGTCAGTTCTAGAAGGGAAGGCACATTTGTGTCAACATACTGTACGTTTTCTCATCTTTTCTCATTGTCCACTAATGACACTGAGCTGCCATTGAAGCTCTTTTCTGTTCCTTTTGTTGTTTCTGAGAGTAAGGTTTATTGTTATTCTTTAGTTAAGAAGGAGAAGTAGAGAGGTGCATTTGTCCTCAGTGTTTGTAAGTGGCTGAAGATGAATGTTCCTTACATGTTAAGTTTAGGAAGGATGGCTTTTTCCTGCCAACTACTTTTATGAGATGGCATGAATTTAGCTTTCCATTTTGAAGTTACAATGTTTATGTACAGTGTATTTTGTTCAGTTCTGCTATTCTATAAATAAAGTAGATAAATACTATTTAATAAATGGATGCTTTGTTTTTAAAACTGGTTTAATTAAAAATATGACCTGTTGTCAGGGCTATCTATATTTCACCAGGCAGGGAAATGTTATAGAATTTTCCAGAGATCCTAAATGAAAAATGGAGGTTTATATTCATTACTTTATGTCTGAAATGGGACAGGCTTTTTTCCTTCATCTTTTTCTTTTCTTTTATGACTTGAAAGGATGTTGTAGATGCTTTGCTCAAGAATCTTCAACAAAGGATTTTGTTCTGCTTTTGAGCTTTAAGAAAAGGTACACTTTTTCCCCCTTTGCCATTCTTATTACTTAAGCTCCATTTTAGTAATTAATGGGCTGAGATACTTGATAGTAAGTGGTATATATTATTTTTGCATATGTTTATCATACATCTTCTGTGTTAAACTGCTAGGTTTATTTAAGTTTACTTGCTCACTCTTTAGAGTATAAGGTCAACTCTCTGTATATTATTTTCTCTTATGAGTTTATATGTGGTTATAAATAGCCTAGCATATACTATGTGACTTGTAGCAGGTAACATTTAGACAACAGCTGAGCAAACTTTACATTTCTTCCAGATGAATATTTTACTTCCAATTTAATTAAAAATATTTAAGCATCACAGCTTTATAAGTATTAAAGCCTGCTACTGCCTGTTATATCAGAAAGCATTGTTAGGAAAAATTCCCAGGGAAGGGCCCTAGTGTCTCCTGACCCTGTAGACAGTGATCATGACATTACTTGGAGTATGCATTAAGTGTGCTCTCTATCTGTGTATCTGGAGAGGGGTTAGTACTGGGTGTCATTTGGTGTCTGACAGTGGAACAGTGCAGTTGACTCCTAGCTCTGCTATCCAATGACATGCAGTGGCTGAGGGTTTGAAGCTGATGGTTGGGTCTCCAGTGCTGCCTGCACACCTGACAGGCAGCTGTTAAACCAAGCAAAGGCAAGCTTGGGGAGTCACAATCTATGCATAAATGATAGGGATATCTGTGCAGAAGGTGCGAAGGAAGCTCTGACCCCCTCCTTTCCCCAGATCTCCCCCTTCCCAAATGAAATGCACAGTTCAGGCAGCTTCCTAACTACACTACACTCCGTCTACTGGCTGCCAAGAGGCTCAAAAAATCCACCTTCACTTTTCAGTCAGAAGAGGCAGAAGTGGATGTGAGAGAAAGAGACACACAGAGAGACAGAGAGCCAAAGAGGGCAAGAGACTTGACTTTAAGAGACTCCTGTACTGACAACTCCATGCAGTTCGGAACCAGGACGACTGCGGCTGAACCAGGGTTCATGGGGACATGGCAAAACGCTGATACTAACCTCTTATTCAGAATGTCCCAACAGGTAAGTTACTTTCAATTTTTTTCTGCAAGAAACCTCAAATTGTTACGTGCACTTTTTCTCTTGCTATTTTTCTTTCTAAATGTTTTTGAAAATTAAAAAAATGTTTTGTCATAACCATGTTACTGGAATGTGCAGGGTTACTTCATGACTTCCCCAAGGGCTCCTTTAAAGAAGGGGGAAGGATGGTGGAGTCAGAAAGCAAAGGATAGGTTGAAAAGTTTCAGTGTGCAGCCTGGGTCCTGCGAACCCTTAATTTATCTCTTCGTTTTCTGTTTAAAAAAGGAAAAAGCCACTACTTAACAAATGCATCTTTCGGGCCCTGTGAAGCCCTTGGTCAAAGTGTCAGCCGTCTTAAGCCCGGGCCCCTCGCCTCCAGTCTGACTCTGGCGGCTGCAGCCGCTCGGCTCAGCCTTGGGCAGAGGCTGCGCGGGTTTCCCGGCCGCGGGTCGGCGGCGCGGCGAGGGCTGACGAGGCTCCGGCTCCGGCTCCGGCTCCGCGGCCGTTCGTCCGCTCGCAGGCAGCTGCTCCGCCCGCCGCCCGCCCGCCGCGCACTCGCACGCATCCGCCCCAGCCGCTCCTCACCCGGCCGTGCCGCTGGCGGCTCCGCGGCTGCTCTGCCCCAGAGCCGGCCGCCCAGAGAGGCCAGGCCAGCGGGCGGATGATTGATCACCGCGGCTGCCGGTACCGAGCGCTCCGAGCTGCGCGGTGCGGCTCCTCTTGCACAACTGCTGGCTCTGTGGCTCCGCGGGGGAGCCAGGGGAGAGGAAGGAAGGGGAAACAACCCAGAAACTTTCCTCTTGGACTGTGCTCAAGTGAGGGAGGGAAGTTCCCCGGTGCCTCCCTCCCAGACAAGTCTTGCTTTTCAGAAGCCGACAGCAGACCCATACAAAGCCAGTTAGTTTATGGTCCTCGCAGCACCAAAGTAGTACTAACAGATACGCCGAATTTAAGTAGATGACGATTTTTAAAGGTTGGTATTGCCCCACTAGTTGAAATAATACTGCGGCTGCTTTTGAGTAAATGTCTCTTGTGTGAGGGTTCACAGAAATTACATAGTTGAGATAGATTTTTTTAATGGTAATGAAGTAAACAACATTTTGTAGGGCTGCCACAACTTTAGAAATATATTTATCAAAAAATAATACAGACAACCAGGGTCTTCCAACATTTAGCTGGCGAACAGTTTATCACACAGTTTTAGGCAGGAGAAATGTATTTGAATAAGGTGTATTTTGACATCCTGTAGAGGGACCCTGATAACTGCTGATACAGTAAGCTGGGATTTAAATGCAATCAACATAAACCCAATAAGCAAGTCTTTATGTGCAGCACTCCATTCTTGTAAGTGAAAAGTTCATTTCCTAACAGAGATGTACCTTGTTATTGCAGAGTGCTCTGCTAGGTGGTTTTCTGAAGCACATCCCTATCTGGGTGGCTTGGAACACAGGGTGTGGTTCCACTAACCTTAAAGCCTAGTAACTTGAACCCCACTTTGAAAATTAGATATAATCATCAGGATTTTTTTCTAGTTAGTGGAGATCCTATCAGTGTGAGACTGTGTGTGTTTGCTCACACGTGTATGTATGAGTGTGAGACTGTGTGTGTGTGTGTGTGTGTGTGTGTGTGTGCTCGCACATGCATATGTGTGTGTACAGGCACACGAGTGCTTTGAAAGGGAAGATTGCTTTAGGTCTTTCTAGCTAGAAAAGAGTAAATAAAACCAGATAGAGATAATGATCAATTGATAAATGGCCATTGAACCACGTCGATGGTGTAAGATTGCTTCTTTGGCACTAGCCCATTTCCAAGTGGATTTGAATTAAAGAGACCTAAGTCGTGGAAAATATTTAAGCTAAAAAATAAATAAAAGCAAATTACATAAATGCTAGGTCAGAATTAGGAAATTAATTTAAAATTTCTCAGAGAGAGAAACTTGTGTGACGAAGCTTTCGTGTCTTTGATGCAGCTGTTTGTATGGCAATACAAAGATCTATTTTGTTACTTGTATGAATGCATGTGTAATACTGAGCATCAGTGACTTGATGAAAATATAGGAAAGGCATATAATATTTGTAACATCATTTATTAATTCGACAAAGGGTGAAAAATCACAATTTTAAAACTATTGATTGAAGTTTTTAATGCATTTTCTTTTTTTGTTTTTATGTAGTGACACTGCCTCCTATTTACTTTCATGGTTAATAGATATTTACCTTCTGGGGACTTTGGAAATCATTGTATATGTGCTTTACTTTCTCTTTAGGATGGCATTTTAGTTTGTGTAAATATTGTGTAAGCTTGCAGTCAAACTATGTCTAAATATAAAAGTCTGTGTGCTGTACATGTTTAATGTGTTTGTGATTCAGAGAGAGAGAGAGAGAGAGAGAGAGAGAGTCTAAGAGATACTTCCTGAAATGGTATCTCTTAAAGTCAACATTTCGAGGAATATTAGTTTCAATACCACATTAAGCCAGCTTTTCCTAAAGAGAAAAGTTTTTCAAGTTAACCAAATATGTGCAGGATTCTACATATCTTATTTCTAAGGTTTTCTATATGACTATTTTAATTCCCAAGTAAAAGTTAATTCAGATCATGAATTGAATAAATTGGAAAAGTTTTCCAATTTAGCCAAGTATGAAGGATTCTGACTATCTTATTTCTAAGGTTGATTATTTTATTTAAGGACTATTTATAAGGATGACTATTTTAATTCCCAAGTAAAGGTTAATTCAGCTTATGAATTGAATAAAATCTATTGGATATAATTTTTCAAAAATAGTATAAAAATTAATATTTCCCTGAGAATTTCTTTAAACATTAAATAAGAGTGATTAGTAGAACTATTAAAAAATGTTTAGGAATTGAACTATAGAAAATTCACCACATATGGTGTTTAACTACAGAAAAACTTGTGGTGGGAAATGCCTCATGAACACTGAAGCTTAAGAATCTGAGTCTGTGTCTTCTAAAGGTAAGCTAGGAAGAGGGTATATAAAAATCTTTGTCTTGTATTTCACTTGAACAAAGTAAGATTTCCTTAAATGCAAATCTTTCATTCTGCCTGATATTGACAAAAGACTTCATGATCTAAAGATTCAGATTTAGGGGGATTAAGTATTTCCCCTCAAGTTTTAGATATGTCTGTTTGACTTCATTTCCCTATCTCTATATTTTTTCTCCAATGCTGAAGTATAATTTTTTTTTAAAAAAGAATCATTTCTTAGTTCATAGACAGATACTAGAGAGCCTTGAAGGGTGTAGCTGTTGACTTTTGTATCAGAGTTCTAGGGTCGGTTTGGTCAACTACAAATTGATAATGTCCAGAAACCTTTCCCTCTTTTGCTTATCTCCTATCACCCAGAACCTTATTTTGCCCTATATAGACTCATAAGGTATTACTGAAAAGAGAGAGAGAGAGAGAGAGAGAGAGAGAGAGAGAGAGAGAAAGAAGAAAGCTTTTGAATTTTTTTAAAATCAGACTTTAAAAGGTAATGTTCCTATTTTTTTACACATTTTGTACATATTTGTTCATTTGACAGAATAGAAAATAAAATTCTTACGCTACCTCAAGAGAAAGTGTAGTCTATCTGAAAATCTTTTAAGAATGACATTGTGCAGATCAATGATTATATAGCACTTTTCACATATTTCTAGAGGAGTTTATACTTTTCATCATTGGTGAGGTATACTTAACCTGTTTCAAATAAAATGTAGATCCTGTAATAAGATCTGTTTTCAGAGTAGAATGAAATACTGACTTAGAATTATAAATGACTCTGTGCATCATTATGTGGTAATTTAGGATTCACCCAGTGATGTAACAAAATTAACAACATAATTTCATTGTGAAACTGTGTCTTATTAAAGAACAACTGTCTGACATTCTCTTACCGTTGCTTTATTTAACTTCATGCAAATATTATTAGTAGTGACATTTTTCTATTGTGCATTAGATTCTCTCATTAGCATGGTGTGTTAGTTATCACCAGAGAAATCATTTCCTAGGTAGGTGAGGGGCAAACCAAGAAAGCTAAAAATTAAATCTGCGCTGTACATTAATACTACAGCATCTGCTCACTAGAGATATGACAGAGTAAAGCAAACTTTCTTAGTAGTATAAAACCCAGCACTTTCTGAGAAATGATAAATAAAATACAAGAAATGTTTAATAACATTTCTGGAATCCATTTAAAAGTGTGCCCGATAGAAATTTTTCTTCCAGTAGCCTTTTACTACTTTCAATTCAATTCGTAAAGACAAACACAGTCTCAGTTCTTAGGATTTGTATTTTAAAATGAAATTGGTGGTTTTGTCTGTCTTCTTGACCCTCCAAGAATAATTTGAATATTTATTCACTAACAATTTAAAAGGCTCATGCACAGTATTTCTTGTAAGTCAGATGCCTGAATTATATATTGTGGTTTGGTTCTTTTTTTATAGTTCATGTAATACATTTTTATTTTAAAGGTTCTCCTTGAAAAATAGGAATCCCTTTTAACATAGGATGAATAGTTTTATTTAATCAGAGCCCTGAGTAAGGCAGTGAGTAGACAGTTAATGGTCTTTGAAAATGACTTTCATTGCCAGACATCATCCATCCTTAGGTTTCTGCCTGTGTTTTCTCTTTCCTCCTTTTTTTGCTTTCCCCCTTACAGTTGACATATTTTGATAATCATGTCTTACTTAAAAAAAATTAAATTGGCAGAACTTACCTTCGTGCTAAAGTAAATATTTATATTAGGTGGCATATAATTTTAGCCTGTTGAATTGGTAGGCCTGCCTCTGATTCAGTTCCTTCTCTAATTTGAGTGATGTTTTATTTTTAAATTTTAACAATTGACACATATTGAAATGTAATGATTAATATTCGTTCTGATATTGTGGCATTAAAATGGGAATGTTTGGGTAACTGTTAATGTTAAATTTGAAGCTATAGCATAGAGACAGGTACTTATGTCTCACCCTTTACTTTCCAAGTCTATGTTAGCAGGCAGACTTTG